TTTCTCTTTCCTCCAGGGATCTAACACAGGACCTCACATTTGCCAGGCAAGTGCTGTGCTGCTCAGCTACATCCCTGGCCCATGTTCTGACTTCTCGTGTATCTGCTAGCATTTTGAGATGATCAGGGGAGCTTTGAAATTGATAAGAAAGATGGGTGGGCTCAGGGTTATTCCTAGTGCTACATTCTATTTTTATAAGACAGTAAGCTGAGGACAGTTATTTTTAATTCTTCAGAGAACTGAGTGACAGCCTCAATAATAACATCAAGGGACTGGCCTGCCCATGTACTTAAATGGTTTGCTTCTTTGCATCAGAGAAAAGATTTTCAACTGCTGTGGGAAACAAAAGATTCCTATGTTCAGGGCTTCTTGAATTACTGAAGCATGCTTCTAGGAGTTTTTATAAATGATTCCACAAAGCCTTCAGGATATGTGGCTACTGTTCTCTGAGCATGAGGTTTTACTTTTGCCCACTTAACCCTAGACTTCTGAATAAGTTCTTTTAGATCCTGAGGCTCAGCCATCATCTAGCCCATTTGTAGGAAGGGAGTGGAGGGGCGTTTGTGGTGGTATGGACCAAATTTTGTTTTAAATCTGATTTCTGTTCTTTAATTTTGTTAAGGAAATCTTTTAGACTAGTTGTAGTACTTTTTTGTGTATTTTTCTTTCAATTTGATCCTCTTGTGTGCATAATAGAACATTGTTTAGGGGTGAGTGCTCTCTAAAATGGAAAATACTTTCATTTATTTTCTTTGTCTAAAGTTGGAGTATATGAGTGCATGTGTGTGCATGTGCGAACATGCTACCGATCAAACCCAGGAGATTTTTCACACTAAACAAGTGCTCTGCTGCTGAGCTACATCCCTGGCCTCTCAAGTTGGATACTTCATTAACACTTGGGCAATTCAAAATTGCCAGCTCCTCCTCCCATTGATTCCAAGGGGACATCAGATTTGGTGATAAGTCTGAGCTATTTTACCTTCCAAATGCTATATTATAGACAAAGTTGCCAAATACAAAATACCAACTTTCTATTGAAGAAAGTGGGAGACCCATAATTTCCTGTCCAGTGGATTACTGTTTCACCAGGTAGCTAACAGAATATAATCAGTGTAGAGAGGGAGGGGTCCCATGCAGGTGTTTAAGTCATCTCATTTTGAACTTGTGGGAATGCTCTTTCCGCCAGTACCATATAGGTTCTCATGTTAACAAGGGCCCCTTCTAGGTGTTCAGTGTCACTAACAGCCATCCAACTTTGATATTCAGTATCTTACCCCAGTCCTGCTACAGTCTGGTATGTATTTTACCACAAGGTCCCCTCAAGTTAGAGCTTATGACATCATTTCTTTTTGATACTGGGGATCAAACTCGGGTCCTTACGCTTGTGCAGGTGGCGAAACCACTGAGCTAAATCCCCAACCCTTGACATCATTTCTTAAAAAGCTGCTCCTGCAGAGACATCTGATTCTTTTTTTTTTTCTTAAATTCTTTTATTGGTACATTTTAGGTATACAATACATTTACATTTATCATTGGGTATTTGTACCTGTACATGATGTATTTGGTTCTTATTTTTTCCCCATTACCTGTGTGCCCTTCACCCCCTCCACCCTTCCCTATTTACATACTTCGTTTCCATTTTTTTTTCTTTTCTCATAAATTTTCCTTTCCATTCTTTCCTTTCCCCATCTCCTCCCACCACCCCTACCCCTTTGGACCTTTTCCTATTTCAAAGTATCAATTATTAGTTATTAATCCTTTTAATCCTTATTTACACTTTCATTTTCTCACACTAGAGAAACTATTCTGTATTTACACACGTGTCCTATTTAATTCACTTAAGAGTATGGCCTCAATATGCATCCATTTAGCTATAAATGTCTCTAATTTTTCATTCTTTATGGCTGAGTAGTACTCCATTTTATAAAAAAAAACCACATCTTCTTTATCCAGTTTCCAGTTGATGGGCACTTGGGCTATTTCCAAGCTTTAGCTATTACAAACTGTGCTGCTATAAACATAGGTACACATATATCACTGTGGTATGATTCTTTTAATTCTTTTGGGAAGATACCCAGCAGGGGAATAGCTGGGTCAAATGGGACCTCCAGCCCTAGTTCTTTGAGGTATCTCCATACTGATTTCCACAGTGGTTGCACCAGTCTGCACTCCCACCAGCAGTGGAGCAGTGTTCCTCTTTCCCCATAGCCCCACCAGCATTTGTTATTGGTTGATTTCATGATAGCAGCCACTCTTTCTGGGGTGAGGTGGAATCTCAGCGTTGTTTTCATCTGCATCTCTCGAATGATCAGTGATGTTGAACATTTTTTCATATGTTTATTTACTGCTTTTACTTCTTTGAGAAATATCTGTTCATTTCAGGTGCCCATTTTTGAATAGGGTCTTTGATTTTGGGGGGGGTCTGATTTTTTTTCAGTTCTTTATATATTCTAGATAGTAGTCCTTTGTCTGAGGTACAGTTGCTGAAAATTTTTTTGCACATTGTAGGTTGTCTGTTAGTTCTGTTTGTGGCTTCTCTTGCAGTGTAGAAGCTTTTTAATAAGATAAAATCCCAGTTGTTGATTCCTTCTGCTAGTTTCTGTGCTATTGAGGTTTTGTTCATAAAATCTTTTCCTATGCCAATATCTTCAAGAGTTCTACCTAACTTATCTTTCAGCAAGTTTAGTGTTTCTGTTTTAATATTTAGATCTTTAATCCACTTCAATCTTAGTTTAGTGCATGGTGATGTATATGGGTCTAGTTTTAATCTTTGGCAGGTTGAAATCCAGTGTTTCCAACACCATTTATTAAATAGACTATCTTTCCTCCAATGAGGGTGGTTGGCTCCCTTGTCAAAGATGAGGTGGCTGAGTAGAGACATCTAATTTAAACAATGTAGTTCCCAAATATCCAGTATTCCTTAGTAGCAAAATTGTAATTGGCATTTTTCTTGTGCTGCTACTACCTTTATCCAGCCTCACTTGCTCATGGTTCACTCCATGAATTCCAGACTATTCAGTACTCAGCCCCATTGCTGACACCCCACCTAGCCATGGAAATGACATGGTTTATGTACACCTTGTCATAGTACATCATTGACCACAGACGCCTCTGGTATTGTTAGGTGTTCTTTCTCTTGCCTTATACTATAGCTTGTGGGACCATTTGTGTAGATTTCTATTATCATTTTCTCATTTCCAGAAAGGTTGCCCACTTTCTAAAAGGTGTAGTTCTGGATGCCATGGCACTCTGTGAATTTAGTGCACATCCCACACTGATTAAACTTGCGTGACTCTGGTCCTTGCCTGCTTGGTTGTTACAGATCTCTTGGGGGATGCTATGCTGATGGTATACTCCCAGACTAGCATTTGTGGCCTCCTTGCAGGAGATTATGTTGTTACACCAGCAGCAGGGTGGAGGCCATTTGCCCTTTCTCTTGATATTGATCAGATATGCCATAGTGCTAGTACTGGTGTGGACCCAGCAGGAGCTCCCAGCAGAGCTGCAGTACTGGGGATGTTGCTAGTTCCTAATGGTGATAGTGTGGCTCTTGGGCAGATCTAATGGGGACAGGCATTCATGAAGCTGAGAGTATGTCCTGTGCCTTAACTCCCATAGCTGGTTCCCTTGCAGGGGCCAGTATCAGGGCTGGCCTGAGAGATAGTACAGGCAAACCTATGCAGCACCCAGAAGTTACAAGAGCAGCAGCAGCATCCATGCCCACCATGCTGTGGACCCCATGCTCGCTCCCACTACAGACCCTAGATTTTGTACTGGTTCTCAATTCCTGGTCTGCCTTCTGGCCAGCAGTAATCACCCATGTGCTCCCATGTCCTGGGCCTGTCCCTAAAAATCCTTTTAAACATAAGTTGTTTTTTTTTTTCAAATAAAAGGATCCATAATCTGACTATTTACAATGTAGTATCTCCAATGGTATGCCTATTCTAAAATATGACTCAAAACCCAAAGCCTTTACATTGCTTAACTATAAATTACATAGCCAGACACACTTCAGAAATTAAACATTCCAGTATCTCCGTGTTATCAGTATTGGCTCTTCTGAAGTCTATGCAACAACAAAAATCCCCAGAATAAAATGAGTTGCTGAATGTGGTCAATCACCTGGGATTTTGATCAGTATGACACCAAATAGATAGTTGAGCTTTAAAATAGAATTATTTGGGGGAATAATGTAGAGTTCTAGATATAATAGTTACACAGCTAAAATTGGATTCATTGGGCTAGGGATGTAGTTCAGTGTTAGAGCATGTGCTTAGTATGTGTGCTAGTATATGTGGGGGTTCAACCTCCAGTACCTTGGAGAAAAGTAGAATTCATTTAAAATAAGGTAGTTTTCCACAAGTTTTATGTTACATAGTAAAGACTCAGGACCAGTTAACCCTTCGTTATTTTTATGCTTAGAAGAGGAATATAGGATCTTTAACATCAGGATTAAAACAATTTAAATTTGTAAACTCATTGTTGATGATTTTTCTTGTTTTATGAAATTAAGGTAATATCTTAATTAGTAAAAAATGCATCTTTGAAATTCACGGAATTCAGCCTATGTTTTTTGTAAGGAAAAATCTGCAATATAAAGTGTATGATGGTATAAGACTGTGTTCCTCTGAAGCAGAGGTTTAACTGCACATATTGTAATGGGTTTATCAGGCTTTAGAAATAATAATGGTCCAAAAGTATGCTTATCCTGTTAAGAAAAAAAATTTTTGGAATTGTAATTCATATGTGATTTGAAAGGTCCACAGTAGAATAGTTAAAATTTGATCTTGGATCAGTATTTGGATTTCTTTGTAATTATGTGTTCCTTTATGTTACTAATGGTGGTTTGTAGATTCTTACAAATCTCACTCTAGGTTCTTGGACTGGAACTCAGATGTAATGGGTTGTGCTCTTTCTCTGTACACATTTTTTTTCAAAATCCTCGAATATAATTGAAACCTGTTTTGCTATTTTTCCTGTTATTGTAAAAACCTCACCAGGTTGGTGGATACTGGGATAAATCCTGTAGCACAGTGACTCAATTGAAGGAAGGTCTCAACAGAATCCTTTGTCTAATCCCCTACAATGTGATCAACCAGTCAGTGTGGGAGTGTATTATGCCAGAATGGCTGGAAGCCATCAGAACAGAAGTCCCAGATAACCAGTTAAAAGAATTCAGGGAAGTATTAAGGTGGGTAAGTAGTTTAATGAAGTCATTGTAATTATAATGATATCTAACATTTATTGAGCATGTACTGTGTGCCAGGCACTCTGGTAAACACTTTACATAATCTCCTTTACTTTTTAACAACCCTTTGGTGAAATTTAAAGGCCCCAAATGAAATAGCTGCTATAAATTGAACTAAGATGATTTAGAATGTTCAGAAAAGATTTTGTTTTTGTGGGAAAATAAATGTACACCATATTGCTTGCTTGAGATATGTTGGAAGTGCAAAGCGAAAATGGTTTTAGATATTGAGGAGCAATTCTAAATCTTTAGAAATAAAATTTCTTCTTGTTAAGCCTAATATAAATGTGAACATTAATATTATTGCAACATATGGATTATTTATATCTATTCTAATGACATCGACTGTTCTCTTACAGAAAAAATGAAATGTATTTATAGCTATTCAGAATAAAAACTCAAGGTTTGGTCTCTCCACATAGGGTAGAGCTAGAAATACTTTGTTGGGATTAATAGGTCCTAATATATGCCCATTGGCCATTTATTTTTGTTGATCTGCTTTTCAGCAAAATGTTTGACATTGAACTCTGTCCTCTACCTTTTTCAATGGAAGAGATGTTTGGCTTTATTAGTTGTCGGTTTACAGGATACCCTTCATCTGTGCAAGAGCAAGCTTTACTATGGCTTCATGTAAGTGAATGATACTTATGACCATTTTGAGCAATAATTCTTAGCCTATAAGCTTTAGATACCTAGGTAGAGTTGTGGGGAGTTTTTGCAGTGTCTATAAGTGCATATGTTTGCTAAGGATTTTTATAACCTTATATTTCATACACATAGATGATTAAATTTCAAATATATATAGCTCTAGTTGTGGTTAATAAATTAAGTTTATGTAATAATATTATTGAATTCATAGGCCTATTGGTTCTTATATATTTCTAGCTATCTAGGATTCTGAGGAATCTTTGATATTGAACAGATCCTTAATAGGGAAGGATGGAGGGGGTAAAGGGAGGACAGGAAATAGGGAAAAAATAAGAACCAAGATATATCATGTAAAGGTACAAGTACCCAATGATAAATATAAATGTATTGTATACCTAAAATGTACCAATAAAAAATGTAAGGAAAAAAAATAAACAAATCCTTTACTTGAGAAGGTTGAAAAGTACTGATTTAGGGAGTGGTTTATGCTGTTCTCTCAGCCTAGAATGACTTTCCCTTCTGTCTCCATTTTTTTGAGCTCCAACTTATCTTTTAAATTCAAAAATTATTGCCTCTGAAGTTTTCTGCTACTTCATGCCATCATCTTCTTATTGAGATTGTTATTCTTGCCACCAGTATCCATACAGGTTCTGTTCTAATTCTGTTCTATCTTGTAGTTAAATCTTTGTTTTTGTTTTTGTTTCTTCTTCTGTTTACTATCAAGTTCAAGGACCAGGTTTTATTTTTGAGTTTACAAGCCTCTTCATCCTTTCCTCTCAGCTTCTGGATATGCTTAGTATTTAGTGAATGTTGAATAAGAATTTATTAACTTGAGTTGAATACCTGACATGGTTTAGGCAGTTGCAGAAAATAAACAGAGGTTCAATGTTTAGATTAACTTTAGATACAGATCCGCACATGTGTGTGTGTGTGTGTGTGTGTGTGTGTGATACTGGGGATTGAATCTAGGGCCTTGTACATTCTGGACAAGTGCTCTACCACTAGGCTATATCCCTAGTCCCCCAGATACATTTCCATGCCATGTAAGGACATGACCCTAGCAGCCCAGTTATAAAGAAGCCTTATGAGTTCTAAACTAAGCAACAATAATTTGATAGAGTAAAAGAATCTTTTTTTAAAAGTCATTTTTGGGATCCAGAATTTTAACTTTTTATCCCCAAAGAGATCTCAATAAGATCATTCTCATTTTAGGAGAGCCAGTCTTTCTGTAGATGGCTAGACGTTGCCTCAGAGGTTGAACAAGCATGGCTATAAGTTTCTATCCCTCCAGAGCTAGAGCAGTTACACTCACAGATTCTATGGACCTGCTTTGACATTGCTGTGAAGACAGAGTGCTGCAGTTGAAGGTTTCAAAGCCCTGGCCTGACCATTTGGGAACAGAGTGGACACTAAAATGCTTGAAGTTGACTTGTGTATTAATTAATTGGAAACATTTATGGAAAGAACGTAACTTACTAGTATTGACATAGGAAAAATGGAAAGTTCAAAAATAACTTGAATTTTCTTGGTGCAAAAATTTGAGAATGATTGTACTGATAGAATATATGTAAAGTTAAATGTTCTTATGTTTCATAGTCTGCTGGGGAGAAATGTATGTTAAATATATTTTTCTGAGTTTTAAAGTTTACATGTTTTATTGAGGGATATGTGCCTTTTCTCCCCAGGTATTATCAGAATTGGATATCATGGTTCCACTTCAACTTTTAATAAGTATGTTTTCTGATGGAGTTAATTCTGTCAAAGAACTGGCAAATCAAAGAAAATCAAGAGTCAGTGAATTGGCAGGGAACCTTGCAGCTCGAAGGGTAATTATTGCCATACCTGTTCTTGTCTTATAAAAATGTCAAAAACTCTTGTCAGTGGTACCAGGCCTAAAAGTAGTGTCATAGAAATTTCTCTGAAAATACTTTTCCATCACATCTCATTCTCTTAATCTTTTAATTACCTCAAATAAGAAAGCATTACTAGCCAGGGATTTAGCTCAGTGGTTCCGCTGCCTACCTTGAAAGTGCAAGGTCCCAAGTTCAATCCCTGGTACCAAAAAAAAAAAAAAAAAAAAAAAAAAAGAAAGAAAGAAAGAAAAGAAAGCATTACTAAACCTATGAAGGTAGGTTTAATTTAGTGTGTAATCAGTAAGTTATTGAGTTTTTGTTTCCTTTAAAAAAAATTTTAGCTCTCATCATGATGAAAGGAAAAACAGTAGCTTTTTTGGTAATATTACTTTTTTTGTGTGGGTAGTGAGAGAAGGAACTGTCTCCTAGTGAATAAAATTCCTTACCAGCTAGTGGGCAGATCAGTACTTCACTTTGGGGGTGAGGAGTTTTGATGATTTTTTTTCCTGCCACTGGGTTATGGGAAGACTTAAAAAAACTGATGGCGACTGTAAATGATGTAGTCACTACCAACTGAGTTTGTTTTATTGACCTGTTTGCACCTTTATGGATGAGAAACATATAAATCTGTTGAATTTTCTTTTATGGTACTGGAAATAGAAACTTAGGATACTCTTACTGAATTATATCCCAGCCCTCCTTATTTTTTATTTTGAGACAGGGTATTGCTAAGTTGCCCCAGTTGGCTTTGAACTTGCAATACTCCTGCCACAGCCTCCTGAGTAGCTGTGATTACAGGTATATGCCACTATGCCCTACATAATTTCTTTTGATATTTAGTGTCTTTTTATTATACATTTGAATTTCTTCTATTTTTCTCACATTTTAATTACTGTATGTTGGCTATATAGAATGACGGGTTTAATTTTGGCAGATTTGTACATGAACATAACCTACTTTAATTGTTTCCCCATGGAGGACCTGATGGAGTTTCTGCTTATATAGAACATTCTCAGACCATGAGCAATTTTGAAGAGATTTGCTCACACCTGAGGGCTGGCAAGGACCGTCTCTCTCCTTGTCAGGCCTCTCCAAGGGATTTCTCCCCCATTCCACCTGACATCTAGCAGTTAGAAAATCTAACATGAAAATGGGGCCATAGTTTGTATTTATTACTTTTTTGAAATCATTACTTCTTTCTTACTTGCTGATGGGAACAAACTGCCAACTACTCAAATTTCTTTCTTTCTTCTATAACATTTAAGATGATCTTACTTTGTGAAGCACTTTATTGTATTTTGTGTGAAATGTTCATCATGAATGATGTCACAGAATTATGAGAGACAATCAGGGAAGAACTTATTATCCTCATTTTATAACTACTTTACCTAATGTTCATTCAGTGAAGTGAAGTGATTTCTTATAAATAATGCTGTAAATATACAGGTATTCTAATTCTTAATGGGTTACTCTTCCTCTTTGCCTTAAAAATGGTGTTTGTGGAATGTTATGCTCATTACGTCTTTATGAGAAAAATATGATTTGAGAGTAATAAACAGATATGTCACTCAGGGCTCAATACACAGTTTTCCTAGATGGTTAAAATGTAGAAACTTTAATGGAGATTCTGTCTATAGAGTTTTGAGAAAGGTTAAAGGATCAATAAGGATTGATGAGGCACCCAGTGTCCAGTAGCAGTCCAGTAAGAAGCCACTGTACTCCTAAGGTGAAAGGAACAAGGAGGAGAGCTCCTAAGGCTGATTAGGAGTTGAAACTACGAGGAAGGGTTGGTGGGAGAAGCTGTAGAGTGATGAAGATACTTCTAGAGATGTAGCTCTAAAGCAGGGAGAGGAGGCAAGAAATACTCCTACTTCCTACTCCTCCAGCTTCAGGTCTTCTGCTGGTGATACCTTCCATTGACTGAAGCCACTTGGAAGTCAGGCAGCAAACAAGCCTGAGTAGACTCAGTTCACAGCATCTTTGGACATAGAGTAGGGCAGAGAAGGGTAGTAAAAGACTCGGGTGGGGTGTGGGTAGACAAACAGAGAATAGCCAGTTACAACAAGGTTGACATATATTGTTTCTCATGATAGTCATTATGATGCCTGGAAGTTATTAGTCCTTAGCTAGTCATATCACTCTGGGTTTCTGCATTTATGATTCTAAAAAATATCTTGCATATTTTGCTTTGGTAATTTCTTATGCTTTTCAACTTATGGTTTGGGTTATGGTAGATTCAAACAATCTATTTTAACTGGAAATTTTAATGAGGTAAAAAATAAAATGGTAAATGCCTTCATTCTTCAGGGTGCTAATGTTTCATTCCTTGACAATTAGTCTGAAAGTTTGGATGATTTTATTTATTTATTTTTATATTTTGAGAGTATCCATAGTTTTTGGAGGTACTAATGCCATTCAGTTATATCAAAAGAAACTGTGTGACAGCTGGAAATGCCTTCCATAGAAACTTTAAATATTTTATTCTGCCATTTGAGTGTCTGTGAGTTCATCTATCTGTGTTGACATTCTTTCTTGTAGGTGAGTGTTGCCTCTGATCCTGGTCGACGAGTTCAGCACAATATGCTGAGTCCATTTCATAGTCCTTTCCAGAGTCCATTTCGGAGTCCTATGCATAGTCCATTTCGTAGCCCTTTCAAGAATTTTGGACACCCAGGAGGAAGGACTATTGACTTTGATTGTGAAGATGATGAAATGAATCTAAATTGTTTCATCCTCATGTTTGATCTTCTCCTGAAGCAGGTAGCTGAAGCATGAGCTTCCTTTAGTTCAGAGGTGAAGAATGAGGGAAAACATTATATAGTGATTCTTTCCATGTGTTGGGCATCTTCACACTTGCTGAAATTATGCAGCAGCATTCAAGACATTTTGCAAACTCCTTTGGGAATTTCCTAAAGAGTCTGAAAACTACTTGTATGAATATCTGCAATGATGTTGACATGTGAAAATGGATTTGAATTTTAGAAACATCCTAGCATCATTAGAATTGATTCTGTTGAATAAATTGGATGAACAAACTGGATAATACTATTGTTGGGAAGAGCAAGGTACAACGCTATAGTGATGGGGCTAATTTTAATATATCTTATAAATGGATTTTCAAGATAATTTTAAAAGATAAGTTAAAAAGGCTTTGATGAGAACATATCTTTGTAATTTTTTATTTTGAAATAATTTCAAATTTGCATAAAAGTTGTTAGAATAGTACAAAGAAATCCTAAATACTCAGAGTCTTCAGATGTTAACATTTACTACATTTACTTCTCTCTCTCCCTCTCTCTCTCTCTCTGTGTTTCTCCATATGTGTATGCATGAATTTTCTTAAAGAATCATTTGAGAAAAAGTTGCAAACTTTGTATCCCTTTATCTCTAAATACTTCAGAATATATTTCCTAAAAAGTAAGGACATTCTTTCGCATAACCACAGTACAGTTATCAAAATCAGGAAATATTTTATAGAAATTATGCATTTAAAATTGATATCATAATAGTATCATCTTTATAGCAAAAGGAAAAGACCCACAAAAAGGAGTTTTGATTCAGGAAGAATCCAGGATCACTCACTACAATTTGTGTATTGTTTTCTTAGTCTTCTTTAATCCAGGACAGTCCCTCAATTTTTATCATTTGTGTCCTTGACATTTTTAAAAGAATACAGTCATTTTGTAGAAGGTGTTTAAATTTAAGTTTGTCTGATATTTCCTTATGAATTAATTTGGGCCATACATTTTTTGGCAGAAAGATCACAGTTGTCCTCTTAATGCATTATGTCAGGAGGCACAAGATAAAATACTGTTCCCTTACCAGTGATGATAACTTTGCTCACTGGGTTAATGTGATTTTTTCCCAAGTTTCTCTGCTAAAAATTCACTACAATCATCCCTCTATATTTGTGGGTGCCACAACCACAGATTCAACTAACTAAAGATTGAAAATTTTTTTTTTAAATTGCTTAAGTATTGAACTTTTTCTTGTCATTTTTCTCTAAACATTATGGTATAACAACTATTTATATAACATTTAAACTGTATTTATAGTATTATATATGATATGTGGAGGTGACTTAAAGTATACAGGAGAATGGAATAGGCACAGGTTGTATGGAAAAAAATTACTCTATTTTATATAATCAACTTGAGCATTTGTGGACTTTGGTATGCATGGAAGGCTCTGAGTCAATCTCCCACAGATACCGAGGGAAGAGTGTATTTTCCATTTTGTAATTAACAAATAACTTGTGAGGAAGTAGTTTATGAGATTTCCTGTTTCTTATCAAATTTTCACTAAATAGTTCGCTAATTGATAGGTTATTGATGCCTGAATCAATTATTATTGTGATGGCTGTCAAATGATAATTTTATAATACCATCATTTCTTTTCAATTTATTAGCTGGCATTATACTAAAGAGACAGTTTTTCCTTCTCTCCTATTTATGTATTGATTTATCTGCTTATTCCTGCATGTACCCATTGATTCTTTCTTTATTCAGTAGGTTATAATCTGTTACTTATAATTATTTGTTTTATTGTTCATATTGTTCTATATTTGGCCACTGGGAATCCCTTCAACCTTGTTTTGTGTTCTTTTGACATGTCCATATCTTTCTCTAAACATTTTCTTAATTTCTGTCATGATAAGATGTTCCAGGCTCATCTTATGTTTTCCTAGCCCCAGTTCTTGAGTAATCCATTTCTTCAAGAAGCTTGGTTCCTGTTAGTGAATAATAGTATTTAAAAACCAAGACTTGGATAGTAGATGAGAAGCAATATTTTGGAAATGTGCTACCTCTCACAAAGTTATGAGTTTAAAAACACCTGTCTTAAATGTCACACATGATTTTTTAAATAATACCCATTACTTTGTCTGTGTTTATACTCTTTTTAGAAGAATCCAAGGAAAGTAATGTAATGACCTTAAAGCCTGTATTGTCTTTAAATAACTTAATATTGCTGTCAGTTAGTGAAAATTATCTCCAAGTACTGTGTGAATGGAATATTGGATAAAAGGACCAAACTCCTTCTTCTTCTTCTTTTTTCCCCCTTTTTCAATATCTTTCAGATGGAGTTACAAGATGATGGAGTCACGATGGGTTTAGAGCACAGTTTGTCAAAGGACATTATTTCTATTATAAACAATGTCTTCCAGGCCCCTTGGGGGGGCTCCCACACCTGCCAAAAGGAGGAAAAAGCAATGGAGTGTAACTTATGTCAGTCTAGTATCCTTTGCTATCAGCTTGCTTGTGAACTCCTGGAGCGATTAGCTCCCAAAGAAGAAAGCCGACTGGTGGTAAGCAGTTGAAGAAATGAGATGAATCACATATAGCAGAAAGAAACACTCAGTAGCTGGCGTAATGGAGTCCTCCTCCAGCATTATCTTATGCTCCATTCTGGGTTTTTTATGAGGCTGTATTAAAAAAAAGTTTTCCTGTGGTTTTCACCAACTCAGGCTCTTGAAAGGGACAGGGGATGGAGCTGCACTGTAGAGACTTCTATTAACCGGCTTGAATTAGGGTTACAGCAACTTTGTTCATGCAGTTCTCATGAATACAAAACATTATTAGCATTCTTGGAAGAATTTTTATCATAAAGTTATTTTACAAAGCATAATTATGAATACAATAAAATATACAATCAAATATTAAGTAAGTAGATTGTATACAGACACTGTTCCAAGGTAACTTTAGTTTGTAAAACTCATTGGCTTTTTATCTCCAATCAAGAAAACCATCATTCCTTTTTCTGGTTACTTTGATTTTCTGATTTTCAAGGAGATTGTCTAAAGAGGGAACAGCTAAGATATTCATTACTCCATGCCATTGGTATTTTCTGTTGAACCTATTTTTTATAAGATACATACAACACCAAAATACACTCATATCAGAGGTAGATGAATATGAATCATTTGAGCAAGTTCTCTCTCTCTCTCTCTCTCTCTCTCTCACTGGGAATTGAACCTAGGATCTCTGAGCTACGTCCTCCAGTGGCCCCTTTAAATTTTGAAACAGTGTCTCACTAGATTGGCCAGGCTGAAGCCAAACTTGTGATTGTCTTGCTTCAGTCTTTCAGATTCAGTTTTCTTCTCTCAAATTTTATGGGAGTGATGCCTTTCAGTAAAAGAGGATTCTGTCTTAGAATGCTTAGTCTCCACTGCATGCTCTGGCAACTTTAGCTGTTTTGTTCTCCTCCTGGGACAAATGGAGGACAAGAGAGTCCATGAGGACAGGAAGAGTGGGCTGGTAATTTGCAAGATAGATAACTCCAGTGTCTCTCCTTTGAGGGCAGTACCAGAAATGTGGGTTACCAGGTGAATGTAGAAGATTCAGTATGCGGCAGGCAACTTTTCCCTGTAACAAGTATATGAGACTCAGTTTATGATTTGACATGGTATGTTGTTTATGGGTAGCCTAGGAACATGGACAACTTCAGTAAAGCTGTGAAATTGGCAAAGCATTTTTCAGAGCACTGTCAGATACTGTTTTAGCAATGGGTTTCTTTCTTTCTCCTGTCCTTTTAATCCCATCAGTCTTTGTCTCTTTCTTGCTTTGAGCTAGCTATCAGATACTTCTTGAAAAAATCTTTTCTGGTAAAAGTATTAGGTATGAGGATAATTTTGAAACAGGATATTTGAAGATGAAACCTTAAAGAAAGAAAACAGGTAGACAAATAACCAGAAGTTAAATATTTTAAATGGAAGCCATACCTAACACTTTCTTTTTTTTGAATAAAAATTTCTCTCATTTGACAGCTTGTTTTTATATAAATGCAGCATATAGTATATATAAATACAGTATGTAATGTTCAGCATATCCACATTGTTGTACAGCCAATCTCCAGGTCTTTTTTATTTTTTAAAACTGAAACTCTATAACTATTACATGATAATTCCCCATATGTTTTACCTCTGTCCCCGACAACCAACATTTTACTGTTCTATGGGTTTAACTACTATATATATATAGTAATATATATAGTAATATATATAGTAATATATATAGTAATATATATATTATGTAAGTGATGCTATATAGTATGTATCTTTTTGTGACTGACTTATTTCGCTTAGCATTGTGTCTTGAAGGTTCCTCCGTTTTGTAACATGTGTCAGAATCTCTTTCATTTTTAAAGCTGAATAATATCCCATTGCAGGGATGGATCACATTTTGTTGATCTGTCTATCTGCTGATGAACACTAGCACATATTACAGAAATTTCTTGTTTTTAAAAATTTGACTTGCCCTGCTGGGCATTTAGCTCAGTGGTGCCACGGCCTGCCTCACAAGCGCAAGGTCCTAAGTTTGATCCCTGGTACAAAAAAAAAAATTGACTTGCCCAGATAACAAGCCTTTGCATTTGAATATCTCTGTGAATGCCTCAGTATTCCTTTCTAAATAAGTTGAATTGGATAAAATGGTCTTGGGTAGAAGTCCCTTGGTGAATGGGATACTGATCTTGGGGATTAAAGCAGAGGTGGGAGAGCAGCCTAAGAAGACCTGACAATGTTTTCATTATTTCTCTGTATTTATTTCAAGTGAAAGCAAATGTTTCAGCAGCAGGTGATACAAATCTTGCACCATTAGGATAAAAAACCTCAGGCTCTTCTGAGGCGTAGTGCCTTTGTACTTTGGCTCAGCACAGGGCTGAACAGAACAGGCCGCACAATTCATCTTTCTTGACCTGAGCCAAATTGTTTTTGTTTTTTTTTTACAGCCCTCAAGGGCTGCTTATTGGCTGTTTGTCATATTTGTTGCAGGAGCCCACAGACAGCCTTGAGGATAGCCTCCTTTCTTCTAGACCAGAGTTCATTATAGGCCCTGAAGGAGAGGAGGAGGAGAACCCAGCAGTCAAGCATGGGGAGAACCCAGGCAATCGCACCATGCCCACAGAACATGCTGGTAGGTGAACTTGAATGATGAGTAACATGCAGTGTGCACATTCCAGTTTGCACAGGGCTTAATGTTCAGCTCTTTGATTTCTTATGTCAATAATTCCTTGGGGAGGTTCAGATGCATCTTCCTTAGAGTAGATTTTTGCAGATGTACCATTTCCCACCAGATTATGAAGTGGATATATCCATATGGCTCTAGTGGAACCCAGTTCCTTGAGCAGCTCATTATCAATAAAAATTAATCACATTAGTGTAGAAAGCTAACAAGATCCCTACCTGATGTGCAGAAGTAGCTGTGAACCCAGGTTGAAAGGCTGAGGTGAAGGGTGCAGACAATCTCAACAGCTCCTGAAAGTATAATGCCAAAGTGGTGTTTTGGGATAGAAGAAGCAGAACTCCCACCCCTGCAACTTCTGCACCCAAGGGCTTGGCCAGGACCCTGGGCAGCGCACCTTGCCTGGCTGTGCTCTAGGCAGGATAGCTTGGCTTCTGCTTGGGAAGAAAGATTTCTTTCTAATTTGGTTAAAGACTCTAGGTGAACAAGTTGGGGACAACACAATGGCACCCAGGCTCAGGAACCATTCCCTAACTGCACATACTCTGAAGGAATTTATGGAATTCAGGATAGGACCCCCCCATGTGCCTCAGGAAATCCTGATTTCTGGATAAGGATGGTAGCACTCTGGGACCTGGGGCAGATTTGGGCAGCTTTAAAAAATATCTTCTTGCTTCAACTATCCTGAGTTATTAGACTATCTTGATCCTGGGAGGTCTACTCCAGAATCAGGAGGCATGGCATGGCATGATCTCTTTGGTGAACAGCAAACATTCTTAGGGGGTGGTCATATGGGGTTCATTGTAGCTTCTGGATGTCTTATTCAGAGCAAAGTAGTTGTATCACCACTACATAATTTTTGTACAGAACTAAATGCCTCTACACAGACTCTGAAAATAGTCAATAGCCAGGTGTGGTGGGGCATGCCTGTAATCTCAGCACTCTGTGAGGCTGAGGCAAGAGGATCACAAGTTTAAATCCAGGTTGAGCAACTTAGTGACTTAGTGAGACCCTGTCTCAAAATTTTAACAAAGGGTAGAGATTTAGCTCGGTGTGAAGGTCCTGGGTCCAATCCCTAGTACCACAAAAAACAAAACAAAACAAAAAAGGTCAATAGAGTATATATGCAAAGTATGAATATCTCAGCTCCTACTTTTAAAACCATTGAAGCTAGAGTTTAAAGGAACACTTGAGGTGATCTATTCATTTTTTTTGTCAGTATTGGCAATTGAGCCCAGTAATGCTTTACCACTGAGCTACGCCCCTAGCCCTTTTATTTTTTAAATTTTGAGACAAGGTCTTGCTTAGTTACTCATGCTGGCCTTGAACTTATGACCCTCTTGGCTCAACCTTCCCAGTAGCTAGGATTATCAATGGTGCACCACTGAGCCTGGCTATTTCATTAATATTTAATGTGTGCTTCTTGTTGTAAAGGCTCTGTGTTGCTTCCTTAGAACTTCCTTCTTTGGGGTGACAATTGATGGGGAAATGAGGGTAGATGATAAACACCCAGGCTCCTTGCCCAGCTTCCACCAGAGTGCTCTGACTTGCTCCATTTTATATGTTGAAGTTCTAAGTAGGATGTTCTTTAAACAAAGTATTCTTCAAAAATGAAGTTTGGAATCTGCTGATCTAGTTCAGCCTTCCTACTTTTGCAGGTGAGCAAATAAATCTCACCTGGGTTTAATGACTTGCCCTCGGTCCTATAGCTCATTTGATTTATTTACAATTTATGCTATATCCAGAAATGCTTCCAAAATTGTGCTGGCACATTAGAATCATCTGAGGAGCTGAAACACAAAAGAAGTGAGCTCCCCTCACCACTTTTGCTCTAATTCCAGATATATCTAGCGTAGGGCCTGGGTATTAGAAATCCAAATATTATACAATTAGTGGCAGCAATTAGGACTAGAACCCAGGTCTCTTGGTTTACTTAGAACTAATGACCTTGTTTTAGGGCTATAGCTGCTGAAGCCCAGGCCAAGAGTTATACCTCTATTGGGTTTTCTGCCTAAGGAAAGGAAGCACTCAACTTATGATCCAACAAGCTGCACTGTTTCTATGTAAATATATATTTAAACCTAAGATAGCACACAAATCAATTCATTGCCACTTTTATTTGAACAATGGTTAAAATTAAGCAATTTCTTTTTATAAATTATAGGTGTGGCATTGAATCCTTGGAGGATTGGTGTGAGGATGTCCCTTCCTCCAAAAGATACCAGCTCTGTGAATGCTCAAGTCCCTTATTTAAAATGGCGTAGTATTTGCATACAACTTATGCACACCCTCTTATGTACTTTAAATTATCTCTAGATTCCTTATAATACTTACTACAATGTAAATGCTATGTAAGTAGTTGTTATACTATATTGTTTTCAGAACAATGATAAGAAAAAGCTGCCTGTATATGTACAGTAAAGATGCAATATTTTCTCTGGGTATTTTTGAAACTTAGTTGCTGAAATCTGCAGATGTAGATTCTGTGGATACAGAGGGACAACTGCATTCTTTTCTTTGTTGAGTTACTATGAACTCCACTGTTTTAAATGTTGGTTATTTCTCCCTTAGATACTGCTTCAGGCTACTGTTACAGCATCCAGCTCATTTTCCTTTCTTTGCTCTCTACTGTCTTGTGGGACACAGTTTTAGACAGTGTTAGCAGGGAAGCTCCTGTTAAGGTTCTTCCAAGACCCATGTTCCTGTTGCTCAGATCTGCATGCTGCTTCTGCTCTTTGGGCCTTCAGGCAGCGGTCCTGAGCTCCTCTGTCAGGGAACCAAAGGATGCTCTGTAGATCTAGGTTCACCGATTTCCATTGCCTTCTATGATTTCCTCTTTCTGCATTTGAGGGTGTGGTACCCATTTCTCATAGCAGTAAGATATGTTCACCACTAAAAATAGTTATAAAACTTCCACTTTAAACAAAATACATTTAAGTGGTGATAATAAGCATTTAAGGTACCTTTTAGTGGAAGATTACCAGTAAACTGTTAATATTGGCTGAGAAGATTTGACTGCCATTGTCTCTGGTTCTAGGAATTGCCAAAACTTACAGTGGCTTATTATTTAATGTATTTAATACTAGTTTCTCTGTCTGGCTAACTTGTGGATTCTTTGCTATAAGCATGCCTTTATGTAGAAGAATCTCTAAACCATGAGGACAAAGGGGTTAGAGATCCTCACAGGAATATAAAATCATGAGTGGAGTTCTCATCTGAGTATACTCATCTTTTTCAGAAAGCCCTCATTTTGTGTTAGTCTATGTGATAAACTCCTACTTAGGTGCTAATCAACTTGTGCACCTCTCTTTAATACCTGCCTATCCAATTAGGAAGGAGTGAGCAGCCAGCCCTAGGTCCTTTCATGGAGCACAGGCCTGGGTGCAGTAGCCAAAAGATGTTTGAATACACCATGGGCTACACAGTGGAAAATGGAGCCTGGGACTCCTAAAGTTAGGTTTCCTGCACTTACCTCATAAAAGGATATATACTCATTTGGAGAGCAAATAAAAACATTATACAATCACTCTTTCTTAAATTTAAATTTTATTTTATTAGTTCATGTTTGCAGTACATGCATTTTACAGTCATCTTGGGGCATTGGTACACACAATTACTCTTTCTTTTAGTACTGGGGATCGAACTTGGGACCTTGTGTTTGCAAGGGAGTCACTGGAACCACTGAGCTAAGTCCCTGGCCCAATTACTCTTTTAATAAATTCTATATCTTTTTTTTTTTTTTAACATCTCCTGGCTTCATGATCTTGGTCAGTGGATGAATTGTAGAGGAAAGAGGTAGGCTAATCTTTGTGTAATTATTTCTTTACAGCAATAAAGAATGATACTGAAAGAAAATTCTGCTACCAACAGCTTCCAGTAACATTGAGATTAATATATACCATTTTCCAGGTATATTTTCTAAAATCTTTGAATATTTGGCTTGGTAGCAATGTTGTTTTGGAAAACCTAGTAACTATGTGGCTTTTTGCATAGGAAATGGCCAAGTTTGAAGAGCCAGATATTCTTTTTAATATGCTCAATTGCCTGAAGATTCTCTGTCTGCATGGAGAGTGTTTATATATTGCTAGAAAAGATCACCCTCAATTTTTAGCCTACATTCAGGACCACATGTTGATTGCAAGGTATGTCTTCCTAATGTTTCATTTTGTTTCCATTTTTTGGTACCGGGGATCAAACTCGGGACCTTTTGCTTGCAAGGCAGGTGGTGGAACCACTGAGTTAAATCCCCCGCGTTCATTTTGTTTCTTTACAATTTAGCCTTCAGTTGTGAATATTAAAATTAGAATAAGACTTACTAGCTCATTTGGGTTATTTTTCTCAGCCAGGAAAGCCTAACTGGCAATGGAAACTACTTTTATTCTCTCTAATGTCTAAATATACCATTATTAGATACTATAGGTTTAGAAAATATAAAGATTGTTTTATGTTTTTTACTTGTTAATAGGTTAAAATCTAGCATACCCTAAAAAAAGTCAACAGATAATAATTTGATAATTATCTCATAAGGCACCTTGGGAATTTGCAGTCTAGTTTAGAAGGGGATGAGTACTAAATATAGAGGAGGCAACCACATATTTTATTATTTAAATTGCTCTACCTTTGAGATTAAAGAAAGGGTGGCCTTCACAATAAACTCAAAACAATAAGGATGAACTAAACCAAGATTCTAAATACTCTTAAGACACATGAGCATCCTGTGTATGTATAAGTCACTGTTAACCCTAGCAAATGTGATAAATGAGTACTTTGCACAATTCACAGGTGGGTGAGATGATTTCTGCAGATACCATTTGAATGGGAATTAAAGTAATGACATTTGACTGGTAGAGATTTGAGACAAGTAAGGCATTTTGTGGAAAGCAGAAATGTTAACAAACAGAAAGAAGAAGAAATGGAGCCCGCTGCAGACAGGCAGGTCTGCGCATGCCCTACCGAGGTCCTGAGTTGCACGGAACACACTGAATCAGCCCGCCCCAGCAACAATCCATTGGACCTCCTCCCCCTGCTCCTCTGTACAGCCACCTGCTTCCACACTACAAAGATGCAGAGGACATTATGGTACTGAGTCCCGCTGCTCCCGGCCCAGAGGTAGGGGCTTCTGAGCCGCCGTCCCACTGCTCCTGGTCCAGAGGAAGGGGCTTCCCAGCCACCATCCCTCCCGCTGCTCCTAGCCCAGAAGAAAGGGCTTTTGGGCCACCTTCTGTCCCACTGCTCCTGGCCCAGAGGAAGGGGCTTCCAGGCCACCATCCCTCCCACTGCTCCTGGCCCAGAGGTAGGGGCTTCTGAGCCGCCGTCCCACTGCTCCTGGTGGAGAGGAAGGAGCTTCCTGGCCACCATCCCTCCCGCTGCTCCCAGCCCAGAGGAAAGGACTTTGGGGCCACCATCCCTACCACTGCTCCCGGCCCCTGTCCCACCTCTCCCAGCTCAGAGGAGGTAATGCATGCAGGCGCCAACAGCCCCTCCCCCCAGTCAAAATGAGAAAACACATAAATAAGTCTCAAAACCAGACTTCCAGATCACCTACAGCAACCCCAAAGGGAAATGAGATGGA